AGACAGACAGACAGACAGACAGACAGACAGACAGACAGACAGACAGATAGATAGATAGATAGATAGATAGATAGATAGATAGATAGGCATTTTAAACCCTTTCCACACTCTTGCAACATTCTAAACAATGTTTCTAAACTCTAAACGTTCTAAAAGAGACAGAATGTCATGAAATCAGTTCTCTGCCATCTGCCGCTCTTGGCCACGCCCATTTCTCCTCTGCAGAGTGGAGATATGACACACTGCAGGAGGGAGCTTCTCCTGCAAGCGGTGGGTTGCATACAGGTGCAACAGGTGCTAAATAATTTAAAATAATTTATTTAAAAAAAAATAATAATTCCATGCCGATCGTGCGGCACAGTTTTGTTGTGGTAGAAGCAAGACAACACTCCCAGCAAACACTCATAAAGTGCACATTTGCAACTGATCAACTTTCAGAGTCAGTCCAACCGGAGATGGCCACCACAGACAAGTGACTTGAGGAAACACTTAAAAATGGCTAACTCAGCCAACGTGACAGATATGGAGCTAACTCTGGTGTGGCAGCAGCTGAGAGTCATCTTCAACACATATTCCAAGCACTAGCACGTCTTGCGATATCCAAGCAAATTGCAGGAGATAATATTTGCAAGATTTGACCGAAACTCTCATTTTTCTGCATAATTTAAAACTCTGGCATGAAACATGACAGTGATGTGCAATAATTAATTATTTGCAGCTACATGCTAATGTGCCAGGTTTAAACACCGAGTATCAAAGTCTAAACGTGTTACTGGGGGGTGGGGTGTCATAGTGTGAAACTAGCCAGCAGTTTTTTTTGTACAGTCCTTTTAAAACTGAAAGAAACAGATCAGTCCCAATGAGAACAACAACAACAACAACAACAACACTTTTTCCAGTCCCTGTTTAAATTATAGATCGGCTGTTCTCACCAGCCGCCTCTCCAACTATGTTTCTAAGAATTCCAATCTTAGACTAGATGCTGCTGCAAGGCAGAAAATTTAACTTAAAAAGGTAAGAAGAGATCAACTTTTCTAACTGAGGGGGAGGACTAGAAATGCTTCCTGTAATTTTGTGGCTCAACATCATTCAGATCTATATACACATATTGTGAGTGTAGGCTCCCACTCATGAGTGAGAAGTGACTTATATTGCTGTAGCCTCACACTTTTACTGATTTTAAGATGAATTACTTGCATGTGTGCACATTATTTCCTGTGATGAGCAAGAACACAAAGGAAGCGTTACGAAGAGATACACGCAGAATGGAAAAACCACAAACCAAAGATCAGAAGTTGTTCTTTAGACCTAAATAGAAACAAAGTGACACGCTTGGCAGCGCACAGATGTGCAGAAATGCAGAGTTTACATAATCTTCTCAGAAAAGATTACTTTTTTGGAAGATTATGATAAACGTACAAACACGTCATTTTCCATAAAACCTTTTTTTGTGAGTCCAGGCTTGTATCACAAGCATTATTCCATCAGATCCTCTGGACTCCCATTTAAAAGAAGCTGCATAGGTGCAATATGGTGGGCAGCTGCACACATTCAGCTCATTTACACTATCAGCAGGATGTTATTGTGCTCATTTGCGAAGCACAAACAAAAACATCATCATCCACTTAGTTGGTCCAAACATGCATTTGGGAATATCCCACTATTTATGCTTGTAGATGTGAGCTGCATGTGTAGGAGTTTGTACACAATTGTCTCCTCAACAGCATCACAAACTGAACTAGAGAAATTGCACTTCCTGAGAAAATGCAGCGTGAATGCTTATTGCTGAAGAACTTGTTGAGAAACAGTTAAAATTAGCTAAAAACATGCTGAAATGTAGCCTAGATGGACGAACAAGCCTAAGTTAGCAGAAGAAAGCTGAAAGAACACATTTGCTAAAATTGGTCTAAATATTCATAAATTAGCAGAAAATTTAGGAAAGTGGCTTAAAAAGCTGAAATTAGCATAAAAATGGCTGAAAAGTAGCTGAAAGGCAGAAAGAAGCTTAAACTACCAGAAGGAAATGAAAAGAGCTGTAATGAGCTAAAAAATGTGGAATTAGCTGAAAAAGCTCAAATTAGCATTTAAACAGCTAAATAGTAGCCAAAATAGCAGAAATAGCGGTAACTAGCATAGTTAAGCTGAAAAAAGCATTACAACAAGCTGAAATTAGCAGAATGAAGTCAACTACCGGTAGTCTGAAAGTAGCAGAAGTTAACCACAAAAAAACGTGAATTTATCTGAAAACAGCCGAAAATAGCTATAAAATGCTACAAACGTAGCTGAAAAAGTAGAACAAGCTTCAGTTAGCAGAAGTAAGCAGAAAGAACATGTTTGCCCAGTTAGGCTGAAAGAAGCAAAACATAGCACAAAAAGGTAGAAACTGTCTGAACAAAGAATTGGCCAAAAAAAAAAAAAAAAAAGAGGAAAAAAAAGAGGAAAAAAACAAACAAACACTGAAAAGTAGCTATAAAAGCAGAAAGAAGCTAAAATTACCAGAAGTCGAGAGAGCATAATTTTAATGAATTAGGCTGAAAATAGTTGAAATTATTGCTAAAAATTTTGGAATTAGTGAAAAAGCTAAAATTAGCATAACATAGCTAAATAGTAGCTGAAATTACTGAAACTAGCAGACATATGCTGAAAGAAGCATAACAAGCTGAAATTAGCAGAAATAAGTTAGAAGAAGCAGAAAAATGTAGTTAGCAGAAATAATCTGAAAGAAGCACATAACAGCTGTAAAAACAGCTGAAATTAGCTAAAAAAAGTTTAAATTTGTACAAAGAAGCTGACAGAAGCTGAACCAGAACAAAATGTGAAAGGAGAAGTAAAAGGTTGTAAACAGATCTACAGATTTGAAGGATGTGCTCAATTACTGGTAATTTTCTATATGGAAAAAAACGGCAGAAAAGGCTAAATATTTCAAAAAGCTAAAGTTGCATCAATACCAAAAGTTATAACACCCTTCTCCTGAACAAGTTGAACGTTTTGATATATGACTTGTTGAAATAGCACAAAAATTGAACGAGAAAGATGACGAAAAACCTTCAGAAGAAAAATGGATCATAAAGAGACCATCTTAGCACCAACATAACTGGTTTGTTCCACTTTGGAGTAAGCTGTTGGGGGAAGAATCAGCTTTGTGTTGCGTGTTTTCTTGACTGATGAAGCCTTCTGGATCGAAGGCGAAATGTTTCAGCACAAAAAAAGAAACTGTCCAGATGACCTGACTGAAAAATGTTGGAAACATTCACACTATTAGTTCTCAGGTCCTCGAATTTGTGCTTTTATTCTCAGTTCAAGTTTCAACAGCAGTCAATAAATTCCAGCATATTCTCAACTGCCTGTATCTCATCAAGTACAATGTAAACAGTGCAGGACCTAAAACCAGCTCTTTTTCTGTAGCAAGCTGGGACTAAAAACATTTGAAAAGATATTCACCAAAAGTTTCCTGCTACTGAAAGGTCCAATTTATTGTAACAATCTGACGGGATTATTAGATGGTTAATATGTTTACTAAAGAAAATTGGATCTGAACTCGTACAGTATCTCAACCCTGCTCTTGCTGGTTTCTCCTATAGTGACTTTGGGACATCCAACTTATATTCATGAATGTTCTTGTACACTATCCCAGTCATTTGGTTATCCCATTAAGCTGCACCAGTCTGCACCCTGCTCTCATGTGTTGAACTGAACTCGTACCCGGGGTCTTTCCTGGCACTTTATTGTTCCTGTAATCTGCACTTCTCAATAGTAACAAAATCTGACTTTTTTTCTTTTTCTTACATTTTCAGACTTATTTAGAATTTAATCATAACAGACACACATCAAACTGATGTAATGTAAATACGTAAAGACATGCAAGTAATAAAAAAAACAAGCTTCATTCTCCAAATTAAAGAAAAATGTATTCAGCAGTCTTTTGCTTTTGGCACGATTAAAAAGCTTTGAAAACAAAACTCAAACCTGCACAGAAGAACCACTGTTTGTTGAGGTTATCTGGTAGTTTAGCTGCTTCCTATGAGGTTTTATCTGACGGAGCAGGAATGAACCCTCACACAGTTAAAGGAGTTTTGTGAAACATGAGACTACGTCAATAAATCTGCACGTGCGTTTGTTCCTGATTTCATCAACAAACTGCAGCACATTTGCTTCATGCAAATGTTAAGGTGCGTTTATTTGAAGGTGTGAGTGTGCAGGGTTAAGTTTACCTCTCGGAGGTTGGGTCTTTGCAGTTGAGCGGATACTTGAGCTCGATGACATGGCCGTTCCTCTCACGCAGGAGATCCTGTTGTTCGGTGTAATACTGCACCAGCTCGGCTAGCGTGGCGAACTTCTCACCTCCGTACAGGTCATAGTAGTCTCCAGAGTTCTGGATTTTAATGTGGGTCACCTCATTGTTACGTCTGAGAGGACAAAATAAAAATTCAGATACATTTTAAACATGTAAACAGCAATAGGTTTAATCAGAGGAAACATTTTTATGTGAAATTGTTTTGTTTTTTACAGTTACCCTGCGGAAATCGAAGCACTAAGCACATAAACATCCACCCACACACATGCCCATACAGTATATGCTCACACAAAGAAATTCAAGACGTCGCCTACACACACACGCACGCACGCACACACACACACACACACACACACTGAGCATTAATGCTTATACACTATAAACATACTTATCAAGCCAACTGCTCTGATTTTATGAGTGCGTACCTTTCCCCCCCCCCCCTCCAACAATCCACATACAACAGTATGCATTTCAAACACATTAATTATTTTAAAACAATTTATTTAAACTTCAGTTCAATTCAGTTTATTTATATAAAACCAAATCACAACAGAAGTCGTCTCAGGACACTGAACAGAAACATTCATATATATAAAAAAAATTATTTAACTATCTGAGGAGCAGACTGCTTTGAATTTAACTCCATCACAGAACTCTCATCTTGAGCAAGCATGAAGGCGACAGTGGAAAGAAAAAACGCCCTCATGAGGAAGAAACCTTTAGCAGAACCAGGCTCAGGACAAGCGACCATCTGTTTCGACAGGCTGGGTTTGAGAAGAACAGATACACAATGGCAGGTCAAGAATCACATGTTAAGATAGAAATATTATCAAATGAAAACTATTCAATTTTAACAAATCATTTAAGGAAATAATCAATTTGTCCTCTACTAGTCTAAGCTTAAGGCGGTACAACAAGTCAACCCTAACACTATAGGATTTATCAAAAAGGAAAGTATTAAGCCCAGTCTTAAAACTGGACAATGTGTCAGCCTCATGGAGAGAAACTAGAAGTTGGTTCCACAAAAGAGGAGACTGATAACTGGAAGATCTTCCTCCCAGTCTAGGAATCGCATTTACTCACATAAATTACCACGGTGTTTTTAACAACATCACTGATGGATTTATGCTACCCCCCCCCCCCCCCCCGAATTTGAGCATATTAAATTACATCATAGAAACATATTTCAATTTGTAGTACAGTAATCCCTCGCAACTTCGCGGTTCATTTATTGCGGACTCGCTCTATCGCGGTTTTTCAAAATAAGGGCATGGCACACAATTGGCTGATGGATGAGCTGCACAATCGGCATGGAACTTTAATTTAAAATAAATTATTGAAATTATTCAGCACCTGTTGCACATTTGTGCAGCTCAGAGCTGCAGAAAAAAAACTTCCTCCTGCAGCTTTGTGCAGCCCTTACTGCTGGATAAACTTTGTGCTGCAGCTGAACAGCTGATCTTCTGATCAGTGTGCAAAGTGGAGAAGTGGGCGTGGCCAAGATCACTTGCAGGTGGCAAAGAGCAGAGGAGGCAGGGAGCCGAAATCATGACATTATGTGCTCTTTTAGAGCGTTTAGAAACTTTTTTTTACAATACTGCAAGAGTGTGGGAAGGGTTTAAGTACCTATATATATATATATATATATATAT